AGTCGTCCCTGGTGATGGCCAGCAGCGTCCAGACAACGGTTCACCTCTGCCTACCCATCCACCCCCGCTCGATAGCACTCACGATGAACTTCCAAACCCCCATCTTCCCTCGATGAAAGCACTGACTTGCTCGAATACTGCCACTTTTACGCCCGTCGAGGGATAGCGTCGTCAGGTGACTGTCCATCTGGATCGCCCACAGACACCATATAAACCCTTGGCCCCTCCTGCTCCTTCTCTTTTTTCTCCACCTCGCTACCTTTGATCACCATCCACTTTCCTCCATCCTTGTCTCTTTTGACCAACATCCCCTTGTCTCTATTGACCATCATCCAACTCTTTGGTCGCCCAACATCCATTCATCTTAGACTTGTTCAATATCTATTGATCATGTCTCACCAATCTCCATCCTCTTCGGCTGGCATGGGTGCCTCCTCGAGCCCCTTTGCTGGTACGGAAGCTACTCTGTACTCGCCTGACATGGCTCGCAATGTTGGTCCAGGTCATCATGGCCGCAACAACAGCCAGGTCACGGTCATCGCCACCGAGCAGTCGCTTCATCGTGGCAATGGTGCGACCGAGAAGCAGAAGGCCATTCTTCCGCTTCCAGGTTACTACATGCCAGGTCGATTCGTCTCTGAGATCTCCGAGGACAGCTCTCACTTTGTGTCTCGCTACCTCTTCATCTCGCGTCTGCCAGATGGTACTCCGGCCGGCTCTGACCTTGAGATCGAGCTGTTCACGGTCCAGCATCAGATGAAGCTTGTAAGTAATGTCAATCCCGACCCATTTGAGCTTGCTAACTCTTAACCAGTACGCTTGCTTCGCTACCAGTGTCGCGTACTTCAACCGTGGAGTTCATCTGCGCTTCGATGACCTTCAGGATGCCATTGAGGCCCGCGAGATCCTTGAGCAGCATGATTTCGTTGTCGACCACATTACCAACTACGACTATGCCAATGCCAAGGGCCAGGACACCGCGCTGGTTGATGACAATGAGGGTCAGGTCAAGGTTACTATCAAGATCGAGCCCAAGCCCGACCAGGCCAACTTCAGTTTCAGCAACGAGGATCTCGACGCCATGATGACAGCTGTCGGGCTTACCGCCGGCATCTTCGGTACCCTTCGCAACTGCGTCCACGTTGGCTCCGACCATGCCCAGTTGCGTCTTGAGTTCCGTCTGGAATTCATGTCCCTTGATGCCGCTCAGCGTGCCGTTCAGTCTCTGCGCCTCGATCCTGTCTGGGGCATGAGCGATGATGTAAGTCTTCTAGTTTCTTCTCTTCATCTCCAAGATACTGACCCCTCGCAGAAGACTTTCCAGTGGTTCACCGTCGATGTTGCTCCTTGGGTCGGCGGACTTGGACTCAACGCACCCCAGGCTAGGCGTCCCATGGACAACCAGGGTCGCCTTCTCGGTTATCGCCCTGCCACTTCTGATCAGCAAGAGCCGCGCCGCGTCGCCCACCCCTTCCGTCATCCTCATGACCAGCACAACCGTGTCCGTCGTGAGCGCATCCTTGACGGTGGCGATGTTCGTACTACAATCATGCTCAGGAACATCCCGAACAAGTTGGACTGGGTATGTTGCCACTTCCTCCCTTTCGAGTATGAAAGCTAATCATGTGCATAGATGTCTCTCAAGGCGATTCTCGATGAGAACTGCTTTGGCACCTACGACTTCATGTACCTTCGTATCGACTTCAAGACCGGATGCAATGTTGGCTACGCCTTCATCAACTTCTCCGATGTTCGCGGCATGATTGCTCTTGTCGACAAGATCGAAGGCCACGGCTGGACTTCCTTCCACTCAGCCAAGGCCGCCGAGATCTCCTACGCAACCATTCAGGGTCGTGAGGCGCTTGTAGGCAAGTTCCGCAACTCTTCGGTCATGCAGGAGACTCCATTCTGCCGTCCGCGTCTGTTCTGCACCTACGCCGAGGCTGATATCATGGGCGCACTCCGTAACTCTGGCACTGAGCAGGCGTTCCCTCGTCCCGACAACCTGTCTAAGCTACAGCGCTCCATGGACAGCGCCCGTAGTATCGGCCTGTACCCTCCTCATGGAACCTCGGACGTCACGGAGCATCGTACTCGCACCAGCACCTACGACCGTGGCACTCCTCGTGACATGATCCAGACTGCCGCCGACTTTGCTCGCCAGCGCCTCTTGCCGATGCCCTTCAACCACCTGCCAGAGTCCAAGAAGCGCGAGATCGAGGCTTGGTACTCCTACACTGCCGGTCAAGGTCAACTTGGTCGCATCCCGTTTGAGTACATTCCCCTGACCCATGTCAACCAGTACTTCGCCCTGGGCGACCCAGTCGTTCCCCAAGCTCATGGTGTCGTCGGCGGTCCTGTCGGCGGTCCCTCCAACCCCTTCATCTAGGTTGGCAACACGACTACTCTCTGGTACATTATCCGCGAACTGGCACCTTGTTTGAACCATGTCTGGACCGCTCCTAGTTCTGTGTCCTGGCT